ATTGACTGTTTTGCTGTGCGAATGGCTTTATATTATATACTATGTACTGATTCTTTTTCTCAAACACTATTTGCTTGTAGCGCAAGTTGAATTACCTTCCTGCACTGTTCATGGAAATGAAGTTGTTTATTCTAGCATCTCTTCTATCCGTCGTAGTTAGTTTGGCCTGAAAGAGGCCTATTTTACATGCTGTCATTTAAATCCTCTTCACAGGAGCTTATTGTTCTTCTTATGCCTTTAAAGCTATTTCATTCAGAGAAAAGGACGCTCTGCCTGCAGCTCAGACGAACGAATTTAGGGCCATAGTTCTGATGAAAGCATTGTGGCATTTTTATCGTGCTAATTATACGATAAACTGAGCATGATGAATCGTGGGCAAAAATAGCAAAGTGGAACGATATTTGACGCCGAAGCATCCAAAATGGCAAACAATATTATAAACATGACTTATGTTAACACGAACTTGAAATGTCTGATTTATTGTACATAACAGCAAAATGCTTTAATCTGACTTTTCACTCTCCCTCTGAAATTGATGGCAGTAATGGCAATTTTATACTTCCTATATTTGCTGTGTTCAGTCTTCAGCCAATGAATAACCATAAACTTGAGAAAGAGGATATATTTAGAAAGCACTACTCTGTTTATTTACAACCTGCAAGCGGGCGAAATTTCCAAGTACCCTTTTTTATTCATCTTTTTCATTTGCACAGCCGCTGCCTGTTTTTCTGCTCATTGCTGAACCTCTAATAATCATTGTTTCTATGCGCTCTTGTTTCAAATTCACTGCATATCTGCAAATCAGATCCAAGAGAAATTTACGATCCCACGACCTGTTGAATATGTTGAGCAAGAGTAAGTGAGTACATTTCATGCGTGTTGTCGTTACCATTTTCAGATAGGGAATGAGCATATTTCGTTTCAAGTTTTGAAACGAAGGAAGCCATCTCCTGCAGATTGAGGCAGTGGTATTCCATCACTCACTAATGGAGTGGTACTTGTCAGCGACCACCACCTCACAAAGTGCCGCACTTTACAGAATCCTTTGGGCGAGATGATGGTTCGGGAAAAATTGATAAAAGTTCATGATAATTGGCACAGAAAATGAACTTCCGAACAACTACTCGCCAAGAAACGCTCAGCAGAAGAGAATATAGGAGATGCGTCGATATGTTTGCGTGCTGCGCTCACAACCAGCACAAGTCGGGTGGATGATAATGTTTTAATGACAGTGCCAGTGGTGTCACCCCAGAATACATCTGTGGTCCAGCGGAACCCAATTTGTAATTCTT